ATAATAGTAGTAGCAATAGTAGTATTGCAACAGGGGTTTCTGTTCGACCTTCCACAGTTGATAGCATTGCTTTTCATACTATATTGCTACACAAGAGTCTTCCGTCGAAAGCCTTATCACAAGCACTCCCAGACCCCCTACTAAAGGGTCCCAGAAAATCACACACCCACACCCCCCCCCCCAAAAAAAAAAGACACACCATTACGATATTGGGGAAAGTAGGGAATTATGGGGAAGTTCCAACATTATGTTTTTAAATCCTGTAAGGGGTCTGGGTTCAGGGGTTCCGCATGTTAGCTATAATGACCAGACCCATTGTTATCCACAAGCACATCGTTGCCCCTTAGCCTGACAATTGGCAACACTTAACGTTGGAACTCCTGAACGCAAGCCATGAACAACGTCTAGGCTTCTGCTTCACTCTCTAACATTATGCAACGCCACGACCTTCTGGAGGAAAAGCCGGCCTTCATCCGCACCGACCGGGAGGTGGGACAAATCAAGTATTCCTTCTGGAAGTAAGAAAGCTGCGGAATGTTCCCACAACCCAGTCTTCCCCAGAACGATGCACATTCTGAGAGGCATCACGTTGTAGTACTAGTCCTTTTGCAAGCGGCCTCTCTGTGGTTTGCATCTTTCACGTGGGGCCTAGACCCTCAACTCCAACGAGTGCCCTGCGAGGCTAAGATCGCACAGATTTTTGAAGATATCGGCTTAAACGGCGCAAAGATGAGTACTTTCAACAACCCGGGCCCTCTGGTGGCTTGGGCAGCAGTGAGATGTAGGTCTCAGGGCTCAGGCATGCCGGGTTTCAGCTTTGTGCTTAGGACCTGGAATTCAGGGCTTGTTGCAAGGCTGAGGTCACTCCCTTGTGACAGTGGGAGGCCTTCTTCGGGCGCAAAGCCTGAGATTGATTTTATTCGTGTCCATGTAAAGAGGGATGCGCACAAGGCACCGCTAGATTCAAACGATGCCACATGAACTCGAAGACTTCCAAGGAGATGATGGTTCGCAAAAGCACCAATGGTGAGACCTGGGTTCAGCACGTCCTCGAGGGATTGACGAGCGGCTGGGCAGGGTTAGTTGCCTTGGATACCAGGGTCTCAGAAGAAGCCCCGCCAACCCCTGCAACCTGCTGCAACAGCCCTATAGGGCTCAAGAAGACCCAAGTTATTATGCTCAGGGTTGGCCTTTAATTCCGGACCAGCAACAATGGCTTCTTCAATTCTGCGATGGAACCGGAAGACAAGTTTCAGTCGCTTTGCAAATTTGTTCACCACGTCTGAAAATATGGCTTTCCGCGGCTTTTTGCACGCAGAAAGTCTCATCGAATTGACCGCCCCCGCCTCGAAAGAGCGATCTTAACTTGTCCCGTTGCATCTTCCCTGGGATCTATCTGGCTTCCGACGCACAGAGTTTTGATGAACTAGCGCATGCCTGACTTCTAGCTCAAGCAAATGCCACCATTTCATGTCACACCATGAGAGCATTCTGGTTTGCTAAGGCATGTTGCCAGAGGACAGCCTTCTGCTGGCTGAGGGGTGAGGGGTGACTGCTGCGAGTCCATCGCAGCATGGGGGCTGGAGTTATCACTGCACAAGCTGTATAAGGCCTTGCCGCACGCCGTAGAAATTCTATTGGTAGCCGGCCGTTTATAGTGGTGCAGCCCAATGGTTCGTCAATGCATCATACGTCGCCTGCAGGTCGAGCCATGGAATCCTATAGGTATTTCCCATGCACAAGCGCTCATCTCCCCGAAAAAGGTTCGTCTGACGTTCACTCCAGCATAAGCCCCCACAGAAGCCACGAGAACCTGAAGTAGTGTTAGACATACTGGTGCTTAAGGGAGAGTGCTGGATTGGTTCTGTACTGCCATCTCTCCATAGCTACTATCACCACTTAGCCTCGAGTTACCAAACTGAAGACTATGAGCAAGCTGTTGGACAGGGCTTTGTGCAGCAAAGTCATTCTTCCTGCAGGATGTTGCGAAAGCGGCAAAGACCATGACAATGGACGAGGAAAGCGGGTGTTTCTGTATTAAGATCTGGGCCATATAAACTCCTTAAAGCAGGTTAGTTAGCGGAGTATTTTTAGCAGTTATTAAGGGGCATGCCAGGAGTTTAGACTGCTTCTCATAGGGGTTGATCTTTCTTATTAATTTAATCAGCATGAGTACTGGGCTTTAAAGAAGAAAGCTCTGCTTTCAAAGCTTGTGTGCGGACTAGGAGATGTCTTGCCAAGAATCAGTATGTCTAAGTACTAGCACAATAGCTCTTACAGGCATGGCGGGTACGCAACTCACACCTTGAACAGGACAAAGGAGGACTGGATGGACGTATTCGCCATGATGTCTACCTAGGCGTTAGGCTGATTGCGCCATGAAACTTCTGTTCTGTTGTTATACCTACAAACACTTGCCTGCGTCGAAGGTCAGACTTCAGCCTAATTTCCCCTACATTCCCAACCACGCCCAGAGGCTGCAACGTACCCTGGAGGTAAGATGGATAAACCCTGAACCCTAAATAAAGGGGGTTGCATGATCCCATATATATATATATAAACCGGATCCTCCATCGAATCCCAGTTGTCCCCTCAAAACATCGAATCCCAGTTGTCCCCTCAAAATAGTAGTGGAGTACCTCAGCCCTGAACCATGGAGGCGGCAAAAGAAGAGCTGGCCGCTGCCAAGGAAAAGCACCTTCCTTAGAGCGGATAGGGTTTAGGGATCTCACGCCGCATCCTAAACATCTCGACCCCAGATGACATTGGATCCCAGACACCTTCATTACCCTTGACCGCGCTATGAAGTTGCCGTTTGATTAGGTCTGCCCAGCGCCGTGAACGCATGCACGATGCGGCAGAGAAGGAGGCAGAAAATCGTGACTGATCTTATTCTGGACACATTGCAGTCTGATTTCGGACGGGTATTCTTTTCAAATTGCAAAGCGGGCTCGCCCTTTCCTTCAACATAAGTTTACATGGTAGCAAATGAACATGGGCTGGGACGCCTAAACTCTCGTGTCATGACTTTGGAGTTTTTGGTTTGTCATTTGGTCAAGATCTTTGATGTCTTGCCAAGGCTTTCGGTTTGCTAGCTTCACTTCAGTAAATGTCCCCGTGGTCCTTCTAGTACTTTTACATACGCGAACCTATGCTGGCCATCAAAGATGCAGACAGCATATTATGATAGTCTGCGAGGGCTTGGGTTGGCGAGGTCGTCGGACCGTCAGGCAGGAGGGCTTCAGGGCACTAAGCTCCAAGATCTTTACGTGCACCATCACTACCTAGATTCTGGATGTTATCCTGTTGGATTCTAGACTTGGCGACTTGGCAATACTTAGCTGACCAACTACCAAATGGCGAATCCTGATTTGAGCTTCCCCGCCCCCTTCATGGTAGTAAAGTTCTTCAACAATTATTCAGCACACCACGTTCCTCTTCGGGTGGCAATGATTCTTCTTGCGGACACATGTGGCGGGGCAGGACCCTTCCATCGTGTTTCTAATGCAGCTGAACCGATCCCTTCCTGTCGTACTCTTATCCCAAAGGGTCCAAGGACCCAAATAGTAGGGGTGCAGGGCCCCAATATTATAATAATGACAATCGTAATAGTAATAGCAATAATAATGATATCTGGGCCCTGAAAGCCTATAATTTGGGTCCTTGGACCCGTAAGGTTACCATTTCCAGCTCGTCCAATTCCCTGTACGGGGTTATTCAAACAGGAATTCCGTGTTTAGGGTTCAGGGTTCGCGGGTTTGGCGCCAGTGCCCGGTCTTTGGTGCAGAATAATTGGGGCTTTACCAAAATTAGGGGTACCGTTAAACGGGATATAGGGGTGACATAGGGATATATGGATATCTAGGGTTGATGGTTTAGAGTTTAGGGTTTCCCAAACTTAGGGGTAACCTTTTGGGGGTTGCTATAATAAGGACTATAATATTTTAGGGTCTGTATTGGGGTCCGCTCATTTTAGGAAACTAGCAGTTATCCAAGTTCATGAAATACAGCTACTTTCATTTAAGCGTGACACTGAGCTTTCGTCCTTTCGACGCGGCTTCGTGCATGTCCTTGTACGTAGACACTGTACACCTTGGGTTTGCGTGGGTCTGGAATCTTCGTTCGGAGGATGTTGGTTTCACGGAGCTATCCCAGGTTCAGGGATTTATACAATGTTGGACCCTCGTTTGTACGCTGCCCCTCCCCGCCGTGAACAGTTGAGGATTCTCTGTCATACGCGGCCAACCCCCAATTTGCCGCGCAATCAAAGTCGATAAAAACAATGAATCTCGGTAGTAGCCTTGAAGGTGATGTTTTCTCGTATAGTGTTTGTACTGGCATCACCATTAGCAGCATTAGCATCAAAATCTAAAGCCAGTTGAAAATCTAACTAAAATCAATAATTAAGTCTCATTAAAATCAAATAAAACAAAGTTTGATCAACATCAAATTGAAGACAGTTGAATTTCATTCAAATAAATTGAAGTTGAAATCTGAAATCTACCTACAACCGAGTTAAAATCAATTGAATTCTAACTGCAACCTCATTTGATTTTAATCAGAATCAGTTTGGAAATCTACATAAAATCGTTATAAGATTCAAGCACAACCGGTTGAAATCAAATTAAGACCAATTTCAGCACTTTACAAGCTTCCGATCGATTTTCAGTTGGTTTTAAAATGGCATTCAATCAAATTTCACTTGGTCTTGTTTGTGTTCTCAATTGACTCAGTTTTTTTTCATTTGACTTAGATTTTCGATTAGTCTTAACTGGATTCGGAATTCATTTTAATTGTGGTTGGGTACATTCTAATCGAATCAAAACAAAGCAAAACCTAAAACCAGTTCAAATCCAACTAAATCAATTGACAACCTAATTACTTGGAAATCTAGTTCCAATCAATTGAAATCCAAGAAAAACTATTGAAATCTAACTAGAACCATTTCGAAATCAAATCAAAATGGATATTATTCTGGAGACAACTTTGGCGGCTGGAAACATGTCTTATTATTCCAGGCCCCGAAAACAAGTCTCTGGTATCTGTTTGTATAGTTAAGGCTCTGGTGCTAGAGCTCTGGAATTTGAATCCTGTAAGGCCTGAGGTTCAAAGCCTTTCAGTTTTAAGGTGTCTTGGTCTAAGAGAAGAAGTAGTCTGGGAAAGCACCTACAAGCTGTTTCTGTTATGCTTCTCTTAGCTGAAGCAAACCAAGTTTAGGTAATCAACTTTGTACGTCTTAGTATTAAGGGCTCCAATGGTTTTTTCTATTCCGGGCCCCTTAGGCCATTCCGGGCCCCTTAGGTCATACCAAATCCTGAATAATTTCCCGAAAAAGAATTATTAAAACGGGTCCCTTTTGTAAGGAGGTCCAACATGCCTAGGAATCCATGTTCCAAAAGGGTTGACGGAATTGGCAGGAACCGGAAATGCAAACTATAGGGCTTCTCAAAATCATGGGGTGCCTAGTCCGACTTCCTGTTTTGGGGAGGCATGGTTCCTTCGCAGGTGGGTCCTCAGTCTGAGAAAGAGGCACGTATCAAGAGAGCCTCGCATGGCTGCAAAATACAATGCGTTACATCATCCCGACAGAATGCAAACTACCGCACATGAACATTGGCGCGGTCTAGGGCCGGATAGAACGGTAGAATCATTCGCAGTACACTGAAGAGGAACCACGCTTTGTCCCTCCAGATAAATCCCTAAACCTTCTGAGGCGAGCGAGAAGGAGGAGGAGGTGGAGGAGGGGATCGGCCCAAGGGTAGAGGCGGGTTCGGTTTTCTCGACCATCAACACTTTACCTAACATGGTTGTTAGCAAGGAATTGAACAACGGATCACTACTTCCTCAATAACATACTAGTTTGTATCATGTTTGTCCATTCTTCCATCCTTTTGTCAGAAACAGCAACTTTAGACTTCAAAGTCTTAACCTCCGCTTCCAGCGGTAGCAATCTTGTATCTAGTATCAGATTTGGGGCACTGTTTCTGGGGGCTTCCGAATATGGAGGGTTGAAAGCGTGCCCAGGAATTCCTCCCGAAGGGGCCCCCAATTTTGGAAACCCAGCG